AATCATCCACTAAACCATGGGAATTCATTGACTTGGTCTAAAACCGAAGAACCATGGAGCTAAAATATGACCACCAACATCCAAAACATCTGTTATTTCCAACGAGAGGGACTATAATCACACATGAAATTTCCACTAGTAACCACCTAATATTTAATTCAATTAATAACCGGCAATAATTTAAAAAAAAGAAGAAGAAGAAGAACTAATTCTTTCTCAAGCTCAGAGCTACTTCCGAACAATTGCTGTATATTTATGCAACAACTCTCATAATAATTCCTGTAAATACTCTAGTGAACAACGCCCAATACCTTTTCTTTGACGACACGATCTTTTCGAGATAAAAGTTTCTCATGTTGACGTCCTCACATGGACTTTGAATGCGGGAAAGAAACCCTAAGCCAGAAGGCGACCACAAAACAAACTGATACGATTGCGAAACATGCACGCGCCTACAACAGTATATTTTTTAGTGCTCTCTAATGAGAGGGATACACGACAGAAGAACGTAGAAAAAAAATTAGTGGCTGTAGTTTAGATCCTTATATGGCTCCTGTGGAGAAAGGAAAAAAAGCAAACGGAGAGCTTGCCTTGTGAGAGTTGACCATGTTAGTTTCATGACCCTGCATTATCTCCTGAGACTCGTTGGTGTTGCATACTGTAGGCAGATCGCATCGTTGACTTGAGATCAGTGGAGCAATCTCTCTCTCTCTCCCCCTGAGAACTTCGTGTCCCGGTGTACAAGCTTTTCCCTCTGCATTATGATTTGTTTCTCCAACTTTATTATGGAAATTAATGTTCTGTATTTTATCTATATGTTTGGTTATTGCAATAGAAGCTGCTACTTTGCTAATTAAGAAGCCAATCTTATCAGGTTGGCTCCAAACAGCATGAAGAGTTAGCTCCATGGTATGTACAACTGGTAGACAATTTAGAAATAAATAAACAAATAAATAAACAGAACACGAAGACCGACAAGGTCTCGAAAGAAAATTATCTTAATTAACTTTTGAATCGGACATGGCAACCAACCCTGTGGATGCCAATGTCCACATGGCGCTTAATCCTCATGATGAAATTAAATAAATTGACATATGGTTCTGTGTGAACTTTGAAGATAATGCAACGGAGGGCAATGAGACCTTTGAGGTAAGCGGTCTGTCAAAAGGGTTCCAAATTTGGATAAGGAAAAGGCTTTCCGCATGAACCGATTCCAACTCTCTGTTCATGTGAACATTCTAGTAAGTGCTTAGACAGAATCAGCAACAAAGGCTAGAGTATTCATCTCCACCAGGTCTAGCCTCAAACGCCTATGAATTGAAATGATGCTAACAATGGCAAAATGCTCTCTTTTTTCACCATTTTGGTGTTGAAAAGCTCATTGCCACTTTAAACCTTTCCTCGTGTTTGTTTGCTGATAAACCTCCATGTAACCACTGAAGAAATCTTGAAAGATAACCATATCTCCTGAGTAGACTCCACAAAGCTAACAGCAAAGATAATGGAATTACAAAAATAGCTCTTAATTACCTAGATTTCCACAATTGGAAATTTTATATATAAAAACCAACCCCAAATCTCAACTTTCATACATTATTCATGCAAGGAAAATATATCCTTAAGGAAAAAGTGAAATAGAAATTAGATCACCTGATCACCAATATATCCAGCCCCTCGCAAGCGCTCACCATAAAACTGTTAACAAAAAACAATCATCACTTTGTGAAAATTTGAGAAATATAGGAAATTTAAGATGAAATATGAATAATTTTTGTTACTCGGATATGTTTGCGAGCTAAGTGGCAGTGCGCCTTTTGAAACTGGCATCTCCTCCTCCTCTTTTCTCACTAAGAAGAACGTCTCTGTAAAATTCTCCACAAACCTACAATGACTAGCTCTAATAATTCGCAAGTAACACCCATTTGTAATAGTGTTTGCTGTGCTTTACACAGATCAACATTTTCCACAAGTCATAACTTACAAAAACTTCCAAATTTTATTTATTTCCAAGCAAAATTAGAAGTTACAGTCAATGTGGAAAATATGAAGCTGACACCAGAGCGAGAGACAACAGAAGCCGATAAATTATACCAAAGTAAAGATACATCTCTATACATTGATATTAAATATTGTTGCTTTATACCATAATGTCGTAGGATTATGGAAAATCAATACTCTGTAAGAAAGTTTTAATCATCAGCCCACCGAACACCATGCTTTGCATCAAGATAATATGCACCTACAGGCCCTCTTCCTCCAAATTCATACAACTCAGGAATCATTTTGTTCTCATCGATCTCATGAAGGATGGGAGTGAGAACATTCCATGCAGCCTCAAGTTCATCACTCCTCATGAAGAGATGATTGTCACCATTAATCACATCGAGAAGAAGATGCTCGTAGGAATCCGGAATTTCAACATTATACCTAAAAATCCAAAATAATAATAATTACATTTTTGTAATAATGGTTGAGGGAAAGGTTTTATGTGATACTAAGCTTAGAATTTAGTTTTTAGCCACTAACAATGTCTAGCTTTGTGATCCCAACATTTTCATGTTTTCAACCTAGCACACTGTGAACGTACATGTGGTGGTTGTCCTCAGAAATACCATATGCATGTACATAGTAGTAGTTTAGAGGAATATAAAATTTAGTTCAATGCAAAGCATAGCTGCTGGAAAATGATATCATGGTTCACCAGGTTAGCTGTGTCTCAAAAAACTACCATCGCACAATCAATATCTATAGCTGTTATATGCTAATTGCTCATGAAGATAACTATGCATTCCACCAAGCTGTGTAACATAGACCTGTCTACGTGTTGGTGAGCTATGAATGAGTTACCTTGGTAAAGTACATTTTATCACAATCCAATATTTTATCCTCCTCGTCTAAAGATGGGGAGAGGAATCTGAAATTTAAATTCAACTTATATTTTTTTTGGGAAACATGACTGACAATTTCCCAATATATAGATTAAGCAAAGATACGTACTTGTCCTTGTAAAGCAAGTTTAGTTCAGATGCATCCAACTGCAGCCCAAGCCCAGGAACCTTGTTGTTGACCTTCATGAGAATGGCTTCATCTGGCACATCTCGAAGAATAAGCTCATTAGTGGAAAGGGCAATGTTATGACCTATGCGCTCACGGTAGATATTGCCTGGAACATTGTGAAACTGGATGCGGATCTCAACCCTGAATAACAACAATGAGTAATGATTTCTTAGAGTAAACTTCGGGTTAGGAAAATCCATATGCAATTATGATAATCATATATGATATCTATTCAAACATCAATGCAACTTGATGGTTAGTCAAACTAGATTAAGTAAATTTGCAGTGCTTATAACAATTAAGAGGGCTGGGGTTTTTCTCGTCAAAGCTAGCAAGCATGATTTTGTAAAGGAGAATGAACCATAAAACAGATGTAAACTGTAAAGCGTCAAAAGGTATACATAATTCTGCACATATCTTGATTGCCAATGACTATAATTTCTCTTGTGAAGAAATAGACCATATTTCAAGGGAAAAAAAAAGGGAATAGGGTGAACAAGATAAAATCACAGAATTGAAGTTTAAAAACCAAGAATCGAGCATTCAAGAAGAAATCAAGCAAATTTCCAAATCAAGAAAGTTGATTTTTCCAATATTTCGAAGCAAGTATGGTGAACAGATGCTTACATTGTGGATATAAATATATGTATTAGTTTAACTGTTTGAGAACTTGGAACTATTTATATTGGACTGTTACCACTTCCCACATATTTAGTATTACAAGTTATCAAAATGTTTATGTTTGTGAATATGTACACACGCACACGCTTGACATCCATCAAACTCACAATTAGTAATATGTTGCTTTTCTGAATACGAAAAATTTTTCTCAGAAGGGCTGACGACAAACATCTATTTATCTAAAAATAAAAATATAATAATATAAAACTATAACGCCCAACGGAAATGCAATTTGGTACACTTTATTAGCTTAATGCATCATATTTTGCCTGTAAGTAAACAAAATTGAAAACTTTCACTAATAATTCACTTAAATAGGCTAAATTCAAGCGGGTCGCTAATTGTTTAGTGATCTATAGGTAAGATTTGGGGCGCAAATATTTTAAAAATAGGAGGACAGATGGCAAGTTCAGAAAGAATTAACATGCAATTTCCACATTACAAGGGGTGCAACTGCACCCCTAACTTATAACAGAGGTCCGCCCCTGAAGCTAGGAATGTCCTCAAACTTCTTCATTTGATAACAAGTTCTTCAATTCAAGTTTCTTCCACTAGTTGAAGCTTGCCATTGGAATGAACAGAAACTGTCATCAGTTACTTTTCTATGTCTGCTTCTATGTATGATTATGGTTTTTATTTGCTTTCTTCCAGAAATTCATCTCCAACGTTTTCTGTATAGCATTGAACATGTATAAGAAATATCTTTGAGAGCCACCATTCTTGTTTTGAGGTACAGCCACTGTAAGGAAACCTAATGATCTGCAAATCAGATTTGTACTATGAAAGCTTATCAGTATGCATTTTTGTAGATTGCTTTTACTACTCATATTAAACCAACAGGTTATATTCAATATCCTCTATTAGTGTTCACGGGACAGCCCAAAAAATTTCCCAAACTTGGGTACTATTTCCTACTTCCCCCCATACCACCATTGTCTGATTTAACAAGGGAATGACTGCGGAGGATGATTGGCTCGGTGAGGAGATCAATTGATACTTATGAAGAATCGATATTTGGTATCTAGCTAGGTAACAATTGGAGCTGTAGGAGCCTGTTTTAGAAGAAAGAAAAATCAATTGATCCGTCTGTGACATCTTATTGCACATAAATTTAAGTTCGTGAATAAAGAAATTTCCAAAACTTTCATTAAAATGAAAAAGCCTAAACAGAGGGAAGAAGACATGATTAGCAATTTAGCATTATAGGAATATCTAATTCATTTCTAGGGGCACAACATAAGAAAAAGAACAAAAACTAATCTAAAACGGAACCTCGATGAATATCTATTTCATTTCTAGGGGCACAACATAAGCAAAAGAACAAAAGCCAATCTAAAACGGAACCTCAGTTGGAAACAAGTACTCATAGAGGAAAAAGTGGCTCATAATAGAAATGTTGAGAATTAACTGTCTCAGCTTTATTTTGACTCTGAATGGTTCAACCAGTGGAGCAGAAAAAATACATGGGATATACAGAAATATACAGTGATAGAGGTGCACAATGAGAAGTGCAACAAATAATTTAAATGCATAAATATCTTCAAATTACAGCTGCCTCTGCTTCAATTGCAACGTAGTATCCCGGCCCCCCCCCCTTAAGACAAACCACTAGCTGCAAGTATGAAACATCATAAACAGAACGTCCATATGGGAGAAACCACCAGACTAATTTACCTATTCAAATTTTAATACCAGAAAAAAAGCTGAATTTATTGCTTTAAGTCAGTAAAATTATAGATGATTTATGGGACCAAAAACGTAAAATCATGTGGAAACATATCACAAACATATTGATCACCTAAATTTAAATCTATCCCAGATAGGACTTTTAAGAAATTAAGTGGTAATATTCATAATTTTTAATTAATACTAACTATATATTACAAACTGCTATTGCCTTGCTTTTGTTTTTAATATCATATTTCATTAACTACTAGTCTAGAAAGTATCTGGTTCAACTCTTCCTTAGGATTTAAATTTTTTGAATAGGATTCCAAACCTTCTGAAAGGAAATTCTATAATTCATGGAACTTTGTTTAGCTATGGGATGATTAAATATTTTATTTAGATTAATATTCTAGTATAAGCATGTATGGTACTATTTAATTATTTATCTTTAGTAGGTGATTGAGTCTTAGGATATATAATAGTATTGATGGTTGTTAGTATGTTTTCTCTAGGGATTTCTAGACACTACTCAGAAGCGCTGTGAGAGTTGAATTTTGGATTGTCAGTTGATTTAAGGGAAATAGTGAATTTATGCATTGTGCATTGCATACGTGTCCTATAAAATGATAGTAAGTATATATGGAGTTGTTCATGATGAATTATCTCTTTTTGTATGATTTAATCACATATCAGTTGTTGATTTGATCGCATTTTGTAACGCACATGAATATTTTGTTATAAGTCATGCTTATTTTCCTCGGTTGACAATCATGTCTTTTCATATAGTAACAGTCGAGATGCATTGTGGTTAATTAATTTCAATATTGGTTGGCCTTTGGCAATTTTTTTATAAAGTATATGGCTGTATGAACTTTATTTATTTTTCTTAAAAACATTATACATTTCAGGTCAATATACCGGTATATGTCGAAAATAACCGAGTCATCTAAACTGGACTCAATGTACCTATGTGAGGTTATTTTAGTGCTAAAACCAACTTTTGGGTCTCTATATCCTACTACAACAGGATTAATAAAAGTGAGGATCTTGTGTCAACCGAGGTATTAAGTGTTGACTGCATTGAGACGTGGCCTGCTTATTTTCCATTGCATGATTTTTTAAAAGTTTTCAAATATTTGCATTGAATATGAGAGTTTATTGATTATTTTCTATTCTTTTAATATTTTTCTTATCAAGTCAAGATATTTTAGTTTCTGCAAAACTAGTGTTTAATATATGAATTTATAACTTATTGAGTTGTGAACTCATCATGCTATAATCATTCTTTTCAAAGACTCATGATTAGTGGAGTTGATGGTTCCTAAATTATTGGAAGGGAGCAAGGAATAAAATTTGCAGATTTTTTTTCCTCTCTTCTAGGTGAAGGTTGAATAGTCTTTGATATTTAGTTGATAACCGGAGGCTTTGTAATAATGCAATATTTTCCTTTAGGTTGAGTTTTATTTCAAGTTGAGGAATATTTGTTTATCTCAAGTTAATTGGATGACTATTGACTTTTGGATTATAGAGAAATTTTGTTGATGGTTTTTAATTCAGTGATTAATTATTTTGGTGGTCTTTTGATGAATGTAGATTTTTAGAGGATAATTTCATAGGTTTAGCCCGGCTCCAATATTCCTTCTTGGTTCGAAAATTGGGGTCATGACACAAGCACCTTTCAAAGAGATAAGAACGGGTAATTCAGAGCTTGAAATCCTACCGGTGTTTGATGAGCCCCATTCCAGATTTGATCAAGAATGGAACCCCATCCCATCTTGCATTGTCAATGAATAGAACACCAGCAAAGAATGTTGGAGTCAGTGAGTCCATATATGTAGCAACATTTTCTTTCGAGCTAGCTTTATACTGACCAAGAACTATGTCATCAAGTTTCAATTGTCGTATTGATCTGAGAACCTTGGCCTGCATAAAACACAACCAGTTGTAGTAAAGATTTGCATGCTTCTAACATCAAACTTAAACAAGACGAGGAAAGACTGTACCTTTTCATTTCGAATATCCTCGCCATCAAGACTAACAGGTGGCTCCATAGCAAATAATGCAATTGTCTGGAGGATGTGACTGTGAACTACATCTCGGATAATCCCGTAGCGACCAAAGTATCTATCAACCAAAAAGAACGTTAACCACTCAAGGAGAAGAACAATAGAGGTAAGGACAAAACACAAGGTTTCTCTATACAATTTGCCAATCAACACAGTCATAATCCTTGTTCGGGGAACTAATCTTGCACAAGTGGGGAATAACTTGATTTAAATAATGCAATAGGTCTCAAAGATGACTCAAATTATGAGATCTTTAAGAAACAAGTCAAGCTAGTTCTCCTTACATCAAACTGGCAGAACTACCTTATAAAGGAAAAAAATTAGAAAATAAGAAAATGATTCAGTGACTATGAAAAGTTCCAAATGGATGAAGATAAATATCATTCAAATGTTTTATCAAGTAAATCTATTAGGATATACAATCATGAATATGAGCATTTTGCTTCAGTCTGAATAGTCTCCAGTCTTGCTTTCCATTTCTTATTATATTATAACCTTTCCAAAAATTAAATATGCATCTAATACTTCTAGGGAGGTTATTATAATCTTCACGCATTACGAAATAATGCATAAGATATGCTATTAAAAATAAACAAAATAACCAATTTTATGAGCAACATGTCTAAGTTTTTTTGGACTAAAATAATTGTTGCAAAATGGTTGCTTCATGATTACCTTCCTCGTGATTCCATACCACATTCTTCTGAAAGGATAACCTGCAGAGAAGGTGCAATTTAACCGTTGATGGCTGTAAACAATGGGATAAAAAGATATTACTAAGCTCAAACTCAATATGCATTTGTTGCAAAATCTACCTGTACGCTACGTATGTAAGTCCGACTCCAAAGTGGCTCAAAAACCAGATTAGAGAATCTCAAAACAGTGAGATTTTCAATTATGTCCTTCCCAAGAAGATGATCTATTCTGATACCAGTATAGGTGACAAATATTAGCACAGTATATAGTACCTACCAAATATTAGTAAACTATATCGCACCTACTGCAATGCACAGCATCATAAACACCAACGATAAAAGACCATTTGACAAAAATATAACTATCTTCACCAAATAACCAATCCAATTACTTCACGTTGAACATAGAATATATGCACCTATAAATTTGCTTCTCTTCAAATTTGGACAGAAGAAATCTAGTCAACTGTGATGATGACAATGCATCAAAACCAAATGGCTTCTCAATTATAATCCTGTTCCAGCCTCTTTTAGTCTGTGCATTTTCAGCAAGCGACAATGCAACATCAAGAAAAGCTTCTTGGGGCACTGAAAGGTAAAAAATCCTATTTGCGTCATGGTGACCCTGCAAAATGTGACACATTACTGCAAGTTATGAAATATATGGGAACAGTAGCAGTTGCAAGAAATTCACACAAAAGCATAGAGCGCTCCATATGGATGGAAATGTAGAACCCTCCATATAAATGGAAAAAAAAATTGAATTAGAAGGTAAAGAAGTTAGATTTTTGGTTGAATAACTACCAACTTGAATGTTACCTCGATGTCCTCCATTAGGGAACTGAGCTTTGTCATACCATCTCTGTTGTCATATCCTCCATTGATATAGAATGTTCTTCTGAGAAATGCGTCCAACTTGTCCCCACAGTTTTCACTGTACACTAACATCATCTTGTTAGAGCATTTTTCTGATCATTCGTAACATGTCGAGCTATGTTGCATGGATACAGACGCGGATACGAGTCGGAGTATGGGTACATAACACATGAAATTTATAAAAGGGTATGGGGACAGGGCTACACGCGCACACACATACATGTAAAGTAATAATTTACATGAGATCAATAATGTTTTGATTCACATGCTATGAGAACCAAAATTCATATAACACTTTTATGTTTCTTTTGTTAGTATATTATGAATTGGAAAACTGCTCGTTTTTAAACTAGATGCATAAATGATGCTGTAAAGTCATGGTTCTCAACTGAGTATGTACTGAAATGAACTTGACCCCGTCTCGTCAGAAACTGGATGTGAAGTGGAGGGCATACAGAAGTGTATGACAAGTATTTTAAATTTAAACATGTGTCATACAAATGAGTAGATGTCTGAATAAATGTGCATATATTCAAGGGATATCATTGTCCAGTATGGGTCCTGGAAGTGTCGGTACAGGTACGGCTTCATGATAGAAGTGTCCATGCAAAATAGATTTCAAGTAAATTAAATGAAATGTATAGTTACAGAAATGTTGTACTGCTGCTCCAAGTATTAGTGCTTTCTAAAAATATACTTTTTAAAATAAGTTGATATTGAGAAAACATAGGCACATGGGTGGAAACCTACTCCATAGTTTGAAATATTTGTTTATATCATGTTTTAGCGCTATTACTCTTGATACATATCGAGTGAAAAGATGCAACTAAATGAAGTATGTGAACTGCTAAATTCCAACAGTTCCACAGCTAGAACATCTCACACTAGGACTTAATCAGGATACTTCTCAAATATGTCATACTTGAGAAACATTTTTTTCCTTTTCATATAAATTTTCAATTAAAGTAAACTAATAAGTAAATGAGAAGGAAATTCTGACAGTACCACATAAAGCCAACCAATTTATGAAGTGTAAAAGGAACATACCGGTGATCCACACGGCAAGTTAGATTTGCTGCAATCATAGTTCTTAGATCCTCATTCGTCAACTGCTTTCTAGAATATCCAAATATACCCACATTCTGCAAAATAACAAAACAATTGAAAATGAAACTTCTTATAAGAATTTCTGCAGTGACAATTCAGAATAAATACTGATAACAGAAATATTTTTCAGTGAAAATTGGCTAAATTCTTCTTGACTATGCCTGAAAACGAAAACTCCTAGAAGTAGGTAGCACAGTAAAATAATATTAAGCTATATCTAGAAAAAAACAGACTGCACAGAATATTAAAATGTTGACACAAATGTGCATTGGTTCACTACAAATGTTAAGATTTCACCTTTTATACCTCAAAGAAAATTCAATATAACCATTGAATCCTATAAGGACTCCAGACACAGGTTGATAAGAATATCATAATATGATGTGACACTTAAAAGTTATACAGTATTAGATCTATTCTACATGCCCAAGTGTAATGTCATATATTTATATATGATGAAACTCAAAATGAGAATTGATAACTATAATGCATAGCCCTAACTTTCTGGAACCAGCTTTATGAATCCTTTTACCAAATATTCCCATGTATCTAATGGTACTGAATAATTCAAAATCAAAAAATTCAACTTGCGATCAATCATCATATTTTCATTCTTCATCACCTCTTTCCTGAGTATATGAGCTGTGACACAATCAAAGCAATCATTGTATCAACCCGCCAACCCTCATGTACCAGCTTATGAAATCTTAGCTCCAGTTACCTTGCTCGTTTTTCCATTACTTTGCTTAAAACTTGTGAAATGGCGTACTTTCGAATATATTCTTTCCTTTCCTTTTCCTCGCTCTCATTACCTTAAATTTGTCTGAGTATATTGCATTCTATCTGCATCAATACATGGACATTCTTGGATCCTCAGTTTTCCAGCAGCGAAACATTGTGCTATATTTCATCCCTAGCTCTACATGGGACTATACTTTCTCTTATAGCAATGGAATCTGCTGAAAAAGTGATTAAATGATCTCACATCAGTATTTGACTGAAAAACATACTTCTTGCAGCACTTCATCATTACTTTTGATCAAAATGATGTTGAAGTGCAGAAGCAACTAATGTCTATAGGTTAAAATGTCAAGAATGTTTTGGAAATTGAGGATGCTAGGTAGAAGGAAGCATTTAAAAAATTTAAGTATAAACAATCTGTACCAAGAAACTATGCTAACCATCTTGATTGACACTTGTTACTTATCCAAGTAAACTAAAATGAAATCAAGATAAAGGAAAACTAAATTGAGGACAATAAAAAAAGACAATGTTATACCTCTGGGAGAAAGCCACTGTAGTATAAAGCAAATAATGCTGGAAAAACCTTATTTCTTGCTAGTTCACCAGTAGCTCCTATAACAGCAATACAAAGAGAGGGTGTTCTTCCACCAAGACTGCCATATACATTTGAAGATGTCTCTACCACAGAGAGGGGAGGTTCCTTGGGAGACCAAAGATCATCCAAAACAGAAGGTTGATGATTATGAGGAGAACTCTCTGCTGATTGAGAGTTTGCCAACGTTGTTTGTTCAGCTGAATCTACATTTTCTATGGAAAACCTTTCAGGAAAAAAACTAAAAAAAGAGTGTTGGCATAAAAAAGAAGAAAAGATGTCGCAATAAATGAAAAGGGAAATTTAGATGTCCTCTACTGAGTAAAGGAAAATGCAAAAAATAATTTCTCATAATCATATGAATACTAATAGTTTTCCTGTGAGGAAAATGCACCGTAATAAATATGTGTAAAGGAAAAAATAACACAGAAAGAGTGAACACCTGTATCAGAAGCATGTGGCTTATAATCTGGTGGAAATAAAAGGCCACTACATGGGGAAAATGTTGAGAAAATCACATCTCTAAAATCTTATACTACAGACATGGAGTCCGAAATCAAAAGGCATGGATATTTAAATACCAAGTACCATTGCATAATAACTATCCTAGCACCAGCAGATGAGACAGGAATGTCTTAGACCTGTCAAAGAACACTGTAATATAGACATATGTTTTCAAAAACAACAGAGAATAAAAAGTGACTTCCGCATTCAACACAACAGAATTGTTGTGTACATATATAAGCAAAGACTAATTGACTCAAATATTAAAATGAAGTAAAGACATTGTAGAAATTTAGGAGACAGTGAATTTAGGAATTGCAGAGTAACAAGACATAATATTGCTAAGTTATAGTGTTTGATTACTTGACATTATAAAAATTTCACCTAAAAAGTGCACTATAACATTTCAAGAAACTGTTATTATGTACCATAGAAGTTGGATGCTGTTTCCATTTTTATCTGATAGACCTTCAGAGTAATTTACCATTGTACTTTCTCATTAAAGGTTTCTTCAATTTCCTTACTGTGACCTCTTTCTTCTTTCTCTCAACAAAATTTACCCTTCTCTCATCTAGATTTAAGGAAAAGAGACCTGGATGATGATAAAGTTGCAGCTTGCAATTTTCAGAAACAAGAAAATCATAAAAATATTTGGGAAAGAAGGCGGCGGAAGTGACTAGAAGAAGAAGAAAGAACCACCCCACGCCTTCACACATCTCTAAAAAGGTCAGAACTATTATTGTTGAGCATGTGTGACAGTAACGAAGAAGCACAAATCAAACTCAATTTCTTCTCAACATAGGCTTGCAATCAAGTCAGGTATATTGGAAAAGTTGATTGATCGTGATTTCAATCGGAAGACTTCTCCCCAAATTTAGCACCTTTGACAGCACGCTGGCACTGGCCAAGCGGTAGGTGATGATGGAAAGTTTCAGGAGAAGGTAATAACAATTTATGAGATGGTATTTCACAAGAAGGAACTCTATATACGTAGGTTGAAAGCCATCCTTCAAAATTATCAAACTTCATGAGGACATTTCTCTATTGCCTGATAATGGGAACTCTCGTGAACAAAAAAAACTATTATTGATGTGGTCCAAATGTGAATGACTTATGGGAGATTACTTCTAGAGGTCTTCATCAGTTTCACATACTGTGTCTTGTACTGTGACATTAGCCTGAATGTAACCAATCTCAGCATCAACCTCTACATCAGCAGTCAGCACCGCAGCCAATAAATCGCTGAAGTCCTCATCAGTTTCATATGCTCTGTCTTGTACAGTGACATTAGCCTAAATGTAACCAATCTCAGCATCAATCTCTACATCAGCAGCCAGCAGTGCAGCCAATAAATCGCTGAGGTGACTGCATTTGTCAAGAGGAAGAAGAAATGGGCCATGAAAGGATAGTAACGTTAAGATCCATTCGACATCCATGTGCTCCTTGACAACATAATTGGAACAATGGAAGATGTATCATAAAAATTAATAATGGTAGAGGGTTTCCAATAAGTGGTCAACTTTGAGGTGGTTCATAGTGATTACCATTTTCCTACCTAGATGAATAGTTATGAATCCCAGTGGACAATGAAATAATAACAACTTAAGACAAAGAGCCTTAGGGAGTAAATTCACTCAATCTCGCAGAATACATGGGAAAAAAATAGTGATGATAATGATGATGATGACAACAAGGATGAAAAGAAGATGCTACTAAAGGATTTTCAATCTCCCATATTTTATCATGTGAAACGTAATGTGATGCTTGAATTCAGGATCAAGTATAATTCAGTATAATGATTTTCGAGGACCTCTTTTATCAGACAGACTATGACAAATATGTGAATAATGTGAAAATATATCAACAACCTCAATTGTGGAGGAAGAGCCCCTTGAAGCAAGTTCCTTATGTGAAGCTTTCCCCTGCTTGTCTCCGCTCTATTTTTTCCTTTTATTTTTTCCTTTTTTATCCTTTCCTTGTTTTCCCATTTGAGAATTAGGATTTTTCTTCCTTTCCTTGGGGTGCCAGACTATTTTGAAACCTTTCAGGATATTATGCTGTGATAAGCCCCTTGAAGCAAGGAGCTATACTGTGGCCCTGCTAATTCAACATTTTCCCTCTATGCTCATTTGAGAAATGGGGGTTTCTTCCTTCCTTAGGGGGCCAGCTTCATTATTTTGAAACCATTGAGGTTTATCTTAAACCCTTAATATGATACAATATATTTAATAGTGTTGAAATCTTACATTAACAAAAGCATAGGCATAGGGCAATGCATTAATTTCATTCTCTCTTCTCATCTAAGACGCATGGAAATGGGTACAGGCACCAGTACATGGGTAGGTACGGGTACAGGACACGGAAAATCTGTAAAATGTAGGGTATGGGGACAAGGATATATATATATATATATATATATATATATATATAGAGAGAGAGAGAGAGAGAGAAATTGATGATTTGTATGATATCATTACTGTTTTACAGTTCATGCATCGTTAGAATTAAAATTTCAAACACATTTTGAGTGTCTGTTATTATGTTAATCATTATAAGTTGGAAGTTGCTCGTTTTTGAACTAGATACCTAGACGACCCCTTGAAATCATAGTTTTGAACTTGGGTGTGGACTGAAATGAACCTGACCAATGCCTAAAGAGTTTCAAAAAATAATGTGAAGTGTAGGATACATGTCCAAAAGTGTATGACAAGCGTTCTAAATTAAAACATATATCATATAATTGAGTACATGTCTGGATAAATGTATTCATATATCCAAGAAGGTCCACAAAGTTTGGGTACGTATATGTGTCTGGTACAGCTACGGCTTCATGATAGAAGTACCCGGGTAAAATAGCTTGTCATATATCATCTTACAAAAGGGAGAAGATAATCAGTCTAATAAACACTTAACTAGAAGAAATTGTGATAGTCTTTAGCTACTGGATAATCTCAGAAGTCAGAAGAGAATCTCAACATAATAAGTGAGCTTACTATAAACATTTTCCTGCAGGCGCTATCTTGAAGCCTTTTGAGTTCATTATGCTACATCCTTCATAGGATACAACATATTTAATAGTGTCTACGTTACATGGATAAAGCTCCAGGTGTGAGTATGAGTACGGCACATGCCAAATTTGTCGGAAATAGACATGGCTATACATACATGCATACATTATCTACAAGAGATCAATATTATGTTTTCATTTATATGTTATCAAGATTAAATTTTCTATGAATTAGAAAAGTGCTCATTTTTTTAACGTGATACACGATAGACCCTTAAGGATAGTTTTGAAGTGTGTAACAGGGCTGAAACGAACTCACTCTGTTTCTAGCGAGCTTCAAGAAGAGTATGCAGTGTATATGATTTACATCCAAGAAGTGTATTGCGAGTATTTTAAAACATGTACTACATAATCAAGTACACGTTTGAATAAGTTCATGCATAACCCATGGACCGTCTATTGATCTTCATATGTATGGTATGCATATCTCTCCTTATCTATCATCTAGGAATATAGAGAGGAAAATAGACTTTGCTCGATATACAGTTAAAATGGAAGAAAATTCAAGATAGAGATTTTAACTATCAAATAACCTCAGTGTAAGAGTGAAAGCACTATCAATATTTTCATTCACCAAACTTACTGAATAAGGACACAAGGAAGTGCAACTTTTTTTATAACTAAAAATAGCTATATTAATTTTGGATCTAAAAATTAGATACCTGCAGTCTATGTTACTTGGGTACTTTGATCTGACCTTAACTGCTCCTAAACTTCCTCAGATACTCCTTGAATATACATGCACATTTATTCAGACGTGTACTCAATTATATAATACATATTTTAATTTAAAACACCTATCAATACTCTATTATATAATACATATTTTAATTTAAAACACCAATCATGCACTTCTTTGGCAAATATCCTACATTTCATATCCCCTTTATAATCTACATAATAACAAAAAACATCAATATATTATAGTAATTTTAATTCTCATAACATGGGAATGAAAAACAATATTACTCTCATGTAAATTATTAATTTCAATATATCTATATAACCATGTTCCCATACCTTATGTTTTACAAATTTGCCTACCTCCTACCCATACCAGTACCAGTTTCCATGCAACATAGCTTGTAACGGCAGTAATATAGAAAGATTGCAGCAACAGTTTAGAAAACAAGAGAAAGCTAAATAAATATATATATATAATAGCAAGAACAAAGTGTTTATCCCAACTCTTTGATGAAAACTGGAAGAACAATAATAGAAAGGTAAATATATTTGGATGTCTTATCATGTTGCTCACAGGTTGATAACAGAATTCACCATTCAATAGCTGCACTTCTTCATTAGGTTTCCCATCACATGATGAAGCATTTCCTGAGAAGTCAGCTTCTCGATCTTTGCCTGTAACCTCCAACTTCACAGGTGTCTTTTCCCATCCAAGCTTTCTGATGGGCTGTAGATCCTTCAGCCTTTGGAATATCCAAATTTTCAATCCACAAACTCGTGGACTGATGACAGAAGAGTGAGCAAGCACAGAATGGCAATGAAGAGAAGCGACCATGTATTTTGAATCAACCTACACATCCACAAGTAAGAATGCATAGGCACATTAAATGTCTGTAATCCTACTTAAATGATATCAATAAATAAGAATAAAAGGACATAACATTGCAAAAGAAGTCGAGAATAACAAGCAATTGGAACAAAATGTAAATTGGATGCAAATCTTGATGTCTGCACCTATCATTAAATGTAAGCAGTTCACCTAGCTGAGCATGCCTTGATTATGGTGAGTTATTTTTGGTTCATGCAGTTGAAACTTTTAACTCAGCCGCCTCAATTGTGGGGTAAAGGACGATCACTTAGTTTTGCCGTCTATTTCAGCATGTGTTTGCATTACTTCCCTTATAAACCAATTAGATAATGTATGTAAATGATAAATATATCAATGTTCATTATCAATGTTCATTGCTAGACTTAAGTCTCCAACCTCCCAATGTTTGACAAACAAATCTTGACCTCCCGCATTAGAAGCAAGCTCTTGACTGCCTCCAAGATCTTCTTATTAAAATAATATACTGAGAGGATATACCTGATAGCAGGTAGTGGTGAGAGAAGAGATCCGACTCCAAGATATTCTTATTAAAATAATATACTCAGAGAATATACTTGATACAGGTAGTGGTGATCGAAGAGGACAGGTAATCCAATATGAAAACATCACTGAAAAAAAATATTGCTTGTGGTATTAGCATGCATAGGAAGCATAAAGGTAGAACTGAATTAGGTACATATAGCACCTGCGGGTAGAGAAAAAACAATCACTTTGCATGGTCTTTTTTATGCATAAAAGAAGCCTTCCAATTTACCTATGAATCCTAACTTCTACATTACTTATCTTGTTTGTTCAGATTGTTGCTCGACAATTTGACAAGGGGGCATTGCAGCTGTTGTTATTTTTCTATAAAATGTTCTCTTTTCTATAAAATGTTCTCATAAATTACCAAAATATGGGCTGAACCGTTCATAAAAAGCTCCAAATTAAGTTGCATGGGTACTTCTATTTGGAGCCGTATTTGTGTCGTGCCTGTTCCCAAAACCAAAATATCAGTGGACACGTCTTGGATATTTGCATAAACTTATTCAATGTGTTCTCGATTATATTATACATGGTCTAATTTAAAGCACCGACATATACTTCTTGGACATATCCTACACATGCAATTCTTGAAGCTCATTGGACTTAAGTTGGGTTCGTTGCAGCCCATATCCAGTTCAAAACTGTACTTATAAAGGTTCTTTGAGGTATTAAGTTGATAAAACAAGTAAGTTTCTAAATTATAGATATATATTTTTAAAAAACATACAAGCATTACAGTTTATTTCATTGACCGTGAAATGAAATAATATTGATCTAATATCGAAGCGAAATCAAGCTGTAAACGAGAATGATTAAATTTCCTTAATTGGGCTACTAAAAAGGCCTAATGAGTTTTTTGTTTTTCTAGAAATGGTTTATAGGGTATAAAAACCTGATTAAAATATTAAAGAATAAAATATACAAGTTCATGCCTTGCATGCGCCCTTTGCTTCTCAAAGGGAGCTTGCGAGATGGAAAAAGGCGTTGTTGCATCAGATATGGGGCGCTTTGCCACCACGCCACATAGCAGGGCGCATGAGGTGCACCTTTGATAACACTATTATCGATGTATCCTCATACCCTGCATTTTGCAAATTTTTGTGTCCCGTACCTGCACCAACACCTACGCCCGCATCAGTGTAACTTAGGCTTTGTTCAACTTGACCACAACGTGCTCACATTTTTTTATTCAACTTATCAAGACAAGGTCAAACTTGAGTTAGAGCTTGGTTGTTAAACAAGCTACTCTTAATGTGTCCCTGTGCAATTTATTTAAGCTAGAGAAGTTCATCATACATATATACATATGTATATATATACATATATACATATGTATATATGTGTGTATGTATGTATGTACATACATATATATATATATGTATGTATATATGTATGTATGTATGTATATATGTATGCGCACATATACATATGTATATATATATGCATACAATACATACATACATACATACATACATATACATATACGTATCATATGTGTGTGTATTCACACACACACACACAGACATACACACATATATGTATATACACACACATATACATATGTGTATACACGCGCATGCATGCACGCGCGCGCATAGACACGCACCCGAGCACGCATACCCAGGCCCGCGCGCGCACGCGCATACACATGCAAGCACACACGAATACACGCGCACACTCGCGCGTGCACTTACACACACAGATATATCGGTGTGTGGCACATGTGTGTTCACACGCACGCACACATATTATGTGTGTGTACATATATTTGTATGTGTGTGTGTGTAATGTGTGTGCATGTGTATATGCATGTGCATTAGGTTAGTTGAGTCTAAATTGTAAAGTAGTAATAGAAAATGCACTTCCTAAACTTAATGTTAACAAGAAAGAAACTAGCTTATGTGAAGTAAATTCCATGCAACAAAATTATGTCTTAAGCCGTAGTGTCTTTGTGTCGATATAAGTGCTTTAAATGTAACAACTCATCATATCCCTCTCCAAGATTAGCATGATTTCAATTTATTTTCCCTTTTGTGAGAGGGGAGGGGCAATATGCAATTTTAGAATGTTTAAGGAGTCCTAAGCTTTTTGGCACACAACCCAATTGCATGCATTGAGTGTGTTTACTTTTTTATTTTGGTAAAAGAAGTGCTCATCATGCATTGGTGGGATCACGAGGCAAGGGACAAATGGAGAGTAAGAGGACACTTATCCCCTATTCTCTCATACTAATATGACTATAATAAACCCCTATACCCTCCCTCCTTCACTGTAACTGAGAATTACAGATAAAAATTCATAGAGAGTGGGGTAAAAAGGGAAGGCGAGCTAGAGGTAGAGAAGGAGAAAAAACTAGGGAACTCTATTGGAGGTATACTTCCTCATCTTCTTTTATTATGAGTCGTTTTGGTTTAGAATTAAGATAAATGTACTCAACAAATTGTTTGGAGAATGTGATGAGAACTTTAATGGAGGATTGAGACCTCCATTACCCAAAAAAAAAGGTTTCTGGCAATGGTCTCACTACATGCGAGCTCGCACCAGCAGATATCTCCACCGGCTCTCCTTTTTACTGAGATCAAAGAAGACTAGCAAGCGGAGATTAAAAAAAGTAACGAGAAGATCGCTAAATAAGAAGGTAGAAAAGAAAAAGGGTGAAAACTTTTTTATTCAGAATTTGAATGATTGGAATAAGGCAGGTCTTGTTCGCTTGTCATGGGATCTCGTCTCTAATCGTGGCCTACTTTGGGTTAAATGGATTTGACATGAGCATGCTTTCGAGAGCTCTATTTGGACTGTGCGGGGTTCGACAATCAGGCTCCTAGGCTTGAAAAAGTATTCTCGGTGCTCATGAGTGGTGTTTGCATCCGGTTGGTTATACTTTCAATCAAATGCCACTCACTACTTGGGTTGGGGCTGAAAGAGCAATTTGGTTACCTTATCTTGATCATCATTTTACTTATAAATCTGCATGGGATTCCATTTAGTTGCATGCGGTTATTGTACTTTGGGCTCAATTTGTTTGGTTTTTCTGGTAACATCCTACGATATACAAATCTTGTCTTTGAAATGTATTCTCCTCATGCCTTCCCACTCAAGATTTTCTTCGTCGTCGTGGCATGTTTATTACATCTCGGCTACATGCAGTTATTGTACTTTGGGCTCAATTTGTTTGGTTTTTTTGGTAATATCCTACGATATACAAATCTTGTCTTTGGAAGGTATTCTCCTCATGCCGTCCCACTCAAGATTTTCTTCGTCGTCGTGGCATGTTTATTACATCTCCATTGCATACGGTTATTGTACTTTGGGCTCAATTTGTTTGGTTTTCCTGGTAATATCCTATGATATACAAATCTTGTCTTTGGAAGGTATTCTCCTCATGCCTTCCCACTCAAGATGTTCTTCGACGTCGTGACATGTTTATTACATCTCGGTGTTGCTTATGCTACAATGCTTATGAGACTCAGGCTCACTTATTCTTGGAATGCTCTTTTGTGAGGAATGTTTGGGTATTAAATCTTAAGGATTTTATTATGAGAAGAACTCATCTCAATCACTTTTTGATGAAATAACGAGTATTGATGATATAACAAAAATTAGAGGGAAGAATGTTAGGAGGAGAGCTCTTTTGCTTTGTGCTTCTGTTTGTTATCATATATGGATGGAAAGAAATGTCACATGCATGTTCACTTCTTATGTTGTGGAGTCACCAGCTTAAATTGCTCATGCAATTACTGTAACATTGGGACATCTTCAAGATGAATAGCATGTTTCTTTAATGCTTGTGTTGCTCGTGGTCAACTAGGGATTGTATATCTTTTTTGGCATTTTATTTTGTTGATGGCGTGCTTCTTGGGGGCTGAAGGGAAAGTTAATAACTTAGTTTTTAAACTTTATCAAAATTGTTGTAGTATTTATCTACTCTGGGCCTTTGTTTTAGAGTGCTATGCATTGTACATATAATTTTTTTCTTTTTAATTAAAAGGAGCTTCGCTCTGCTCTTTTCTTGGCAAAAAAAGAGAGAATGTGAATACTTTAAGGGAGAAAGTTACATAAGATCCTAAAAGTTCTAAAATTTTCAAATAAGTCAAAGCAGGGAGCTAATTACAAGGAAATGGATATCTAAGCCTAGACCCTAAAAATATCATATACTTTTTATGAGTCCAAAGCCATAAAAAAGTGTTTGGGAATGGTAAATTAAATCCTTTAAAAATAAGAGAAAATAGTAAAAACCTTTTTAGGAGTTTTGTCTATTATTTAACTTATGTGGACCTAGGATAGAGGTATTAACCTATGAGTTGATTTAAATGGAATTGTTTTTACCTTATTTTATACTAGAGATCCTCTTTCAAATTAAGGGAATCATAACCGGACTTTGCATCTGGTAGAGGTGAGTACATTTCTCACTAAATATTTTCAAGGAAAAAATATAAATTTCATAAATATATTGAATTGTGAAAATTATCTGTGTAGGAATAATATATGCTTTTAATTTCATTAAGTGAGAAATGAGTTTGCACATGCTTTATTGTGAAACATAATTTAGTTGATTTTATATGCATAAGTCTATTTGAACCCAAGTGGAATACAATTAAGCTATGTTGTTCATATAAATCATTTAGACAAATATGAATGTTGCTTTCTCTGAATGTGATTTGTGAAAGAAGTGTTGAAAGGAGTTATAAAATATTCTATATAGTTCATACGTTTATCCGTGACTTGGTTTTTTGTAACAACTAAAAGAAGTATAGATGATAAATCTCAATAATAAAGAAACCCAAAAAGTTCGCTATGAAGTGAAGTGATTGAGTCTGCCATAAGTAATTGGTGCACCAATAAGTGAATTGGTCAGTTTAGCATAAAAGAAACGCCTTCTTGGGCACAAGTGATGAGGCCGACAGACAACTTATGATAAAGCTAAGTGCATTGTACTTCATAGAGAAAAATTGTTAAAGTGATGCAAATTCGCTTTCCCTTATTATCCGTGACTTGGTTTTTTGTAACAACTAAAAGAAGTATAGATGATAAATCTCAATAATAAATAAACCCAAAAAGTTCGCTATGAAGTGAAGTGATTGAGTCTGCCATAAGTAATTGGTGCACCAATAAGTGAATTGGTCAGTTTAGCATAAAAGAAACGCCTTCTTGGGCACAAGTGATGAGGCCGACACACAACTTATGGTAAAGCTAAGTGCATTGTACTTCATAGAGAAAAATTGTTAAAGTGATGCAAATTCGCTTTCCCTTACTACTGGGCTAAAATTGGTAGTCTTATTGTGACATGTGAGCGGATTATTGCCAGTGATATAATGTATTTATCCAGATTCCAGTTCAAGTGATCAGCTAATATAAGGAGAAAACTGACACTCGTTTTGTTTCTCTTGAACTTCTTATTTTAATTCCTCACATTTATTTGTGTTTTTAGTTTTATCGTATTTACTCATGACCTTGATTTATGACCATATTGTAGTTAATCTGATGTCTTCCACTATTATAACATGTGGCATTGATCATTGTTACAATCTTATATGCTTCATAATTTACAAATAAAGAAGTCGGTGCTATCTTACTTTGATATTAAGATTTGATATTCATTATTTTGCTAAAAACACTGGTGCGAAAATGTAATCATTGGGCTCTAGCTCACCCCGTGGTTTTCAACCTTTTTTAGATTCCGCATACATCCAGGTTGAAGAGAAACTGCCAATAAGAAGGTGCTAAAAGTGTTTTGTCGTAATAGCCACAGTTTTGTGGTAAGAGTAGCTAGTTGCATGAAGTATGCATACTATCTTAAGTGGTACAAGTATGGTTTGAGAGAACTTGTATTTTGTATTGTCGCTCCGAACTTCCATCAATAGCAAGTATTGTTCATCTGTGGTCTAATAATGCTATGCGATTCAAGTGCCCAGGCTTGACATATGCATGAGACTTGTCTCATGCACGTCACTGCTGTCATGTGATCCGAGCTTTTTCCCTCCGCTGCGGTCTTGGGGCCGTCAAACATTGGAGTCACGTCGGACAGAATATTCCACATATGATGATAGATACCCAGAATATATCGTGAATATTTAGTAAATGTCCTAGTGACAAATTGGACAGTGCCTTGGTGTCCGTGTCATAAGTGAAATCAAGGGTGACAAGCAGCCAGTGATGAAGAGACTCTCGACTTGAAGCAAAATGTTAGGCCAAGCATGAGCTTTGATTCTTCTATTTTGACATTTCCAAAAGAAATTTTGGCAAGAGCTCAATTTAGCCTTAAAACACATATGAAGGCTTTAAAAAGCAAGCTTTAATCCATAACCAAATATGGCACCATTTCAATCGATTTTTTGACATTGAAATGTCTCCCAATCTATTGGGAAACCCCAAATGTCGACCGCTATATCAGGAAAGTCCACATATCACCGATAATTTCCCAAAAACAATAAACATATAAAATCTTTCTCGTCAAGGCAAGCCCTACAGCACGACATTCCGACGTATCATTTATATGGCCGATGTTTTAGACACTCGCCGAACCATATCGCCATTGACTCATAGACTTGCGCAATGTAACAGCTAATTAAACATCTCCATTATGTTGGGGTAAAATAATTAACTGAAACATTTGCCTTAATATCAGACCGAGCATACGTAATCTTAATTAATCCAGGAGTTCAATCAGTCAAATTAGCAATCTTGTTGAAAAAAGAAACAGCGCACAAATCAGTGAAACGCGTAAACCCTAGCTAAAACCCACCCAATCTTTATGGGACCAACACAAGACCTTAGCTGGAGAGAAGAAGCACTCACCCGGCGGTGACGAGAAGAGAGGCGGTGATACCCCCCTGCAGAGGGGAGCGGCGGCGGAGACCGACAGAGCCATCCTCAGAGTCGACGACCAGAAAAGGAAAAGCTTTGCCGTTTCTTTCTGCCCCGGCCCCTCTTTCACTGTTTTCCTGTTTTGGGACCCACATGTGTCGTTTTCTGGGTTGAGGGGCCCAGCTGTCGGTGGGTCCGATTTTGTGCGAATGAAATTGTCAGATCTTTTTTTATGGGGACGGGGTGGGCGTCGCTCACCGCCGGTGAGAATTGCGTAAGGAACACTCCTTCCCCAATAACAATGGTAGTGTTCTTTACGCTATCCTATGGGCTATTACAAATTTTTTATGTCCCGTACCCGCACTCGGCACCCACACCCGCATCTATCTGTGTAACTTTGGTGTAAAACCCCCGCTAAATTTGAGAATACTGTGATTAACATTGATAAATGAGTTTTAATTAGGGGTGCCAAACCGTATCCGTATCCGAGAAAATATCTGTAACCGTATCCGTTAGGATACGAATATGGTTACTCAAATCTATTACCGATAGGATATGGTTGCGGATATGATTTTGTAGTGAAATATCTGTATCCGTATCTGAAAATATCCGAATACATATTGGTAATACTCTTACGATAGTTTCGATTCTTAGATTATGGATTTGTGGTTAATTTTGATGATCAAGATGTCTAATCTTAGCTTTTCAATCATAATGAACATATTAACGAACTCTTTTTGTATCACATGACTATATTTTTCTGAATACTATCTAGTTTTCTCATATCCTTTTTGTATCCGCATGCATATCCGTTTATATATCCGCATCTATATCCGTAACCGTATCCGATTTTGACGAATATGGATATGAATTTTTCTTACCGATATATATCCGTATCTGTATCCGTATCCGAGATGGGTAAGCGGATATGGATATGGTAAGTGCCATATCTGAGCCGTATCCGCTCCGTTAACACCCCTAGTTTTAATTAAGATAAATATTATTTAATGATGGATGAGTATGGTAGTAATTGATTTGAGATCAACTAAGTGTATGTATGAGAGTATACAAGTGTTAAACAAGTACAAACGAGTGGAAACATGCACACATGTACAAATCAAATGACTCAGTCAGACCTTTGATAGGTCGACCGATGGAAAACCATCAGTCGATCGATAGGCACCTATCAGTCGACTGATGACAACCCATCAGTCGACCAACGGATAGTTTCCCAGTTTGACTGGGTTTCTGTTTTCAGGTCTATAATTTGGAATCGGGTTTGTTCGTACATATATATGTATATTTCACGAATTCTCCCTCTTTTCTTACTCATGTCTAAGCCCTAGCAGCAGCCATACCCTCTCTCAAAACCCTAACCCTAAATTACAAGTTTGGCAAAGCTTCGTGAAGCGGACACCGAGAGGAGGGCGAGATTTACGATGTTTGGTGACGAGGGATCGAGTCTTGCTTGCCTCTGTGAGATTTGCACGTGGTGAAAGGCAAGATCATCTTCCTCCTAACCTCTCCTTAGTTAAATATTAAGTCTTTATGTGATAATTGTGATTAATCTCATGTTTAGGGTCAATATAATGTATTAAAGTTTAGTTTATGATGTTTAATCTTAAATCAATGCCAAGAACAGTAGTATAAATCTGTAATTGTTGAGTTTAGATGATCATGATTATTAGAGTTATTTTTAACTTGTTAATTACATTTTAATTTGGTTTAAATACTTTAATTAATCAAATTAAACAAGAGTTTTGTTAATTAGAATGTTGAACCCTAGGTTTGTGAATCTACATGATTTATCTTATTTAAATGAATATCTTGTTAAGTATTCATGAGTTTAAAATCAATTTTCATCGGTTATATTAATAAAACCCCCAGTTTTGAGGGAAAATAGACAAAAACTCACTGTCACACCCCGCTTCCCAAAATACCGGGAATCAGAACGTGAACAAGCTCGTGACGTATTAGATTAAGGAGAATAAATAAAATAATCATTTCTCCTCAACCTAATACGCTAAGCGTCTGGAAATAAATACAATGTAAAGACACAGGTCCCCGATCACAGTTAGCAAGAATATAATAGACAAACTCAGAGCAAAATGATACATATCACAAATGAATATCATTCAAGACATAATATTCAAGTCAAACATGCCCTCATTACAAAAACTATCCAACTGAAAACTGAAAACTGAAGAAATATAAATACATCGTTCAACGGAAAAGAAGAGAAATACTACAAAAGATAAAGTAAGGATCATCAAATAACTAAGGAAATAGCTAAGCTTCAACTTGTTCTTCTGCTCCGTCTGTAAGGTACTCCTGCTGAGAATCCTCTGGCTCCTGTACGATTCCGAACTGAGGCTGTCTGTCTCCTAAATCTGACGTACACTAGAGAAAATAGGTGTACGTCAGTGTGCATGGCACACAGCAAGATCCCACAGGGAAGAAATAAAACAGTCGAATAACCAAGGTAATAACAGTAATAATAAATAGAAGCATGTAGCTGGAATACTAAAAACTAGATGAAATCAACCAATAGTATATAATAATCAAAGAATCCAAAAATCAATCGGGTGATGAGGTCATGCAGCTAGCAATCAGAATAATCATCCAAGTATCAATGTCATACAACTAGATGGAATTAATACTTAAAAATCTACAACATGAGATATAGTAGGTCGAGAGAAATAATCCAAACAAGAAAACGCTCATGTATATATCATATGTCTCAAATTGTAGATAATTAAATATTAATCCTGATCTATGTATGAAAAGAAATATAACTGGCTTACCTCTCACAAGAATCCATAATCAGCTTAAGTAACAATGTCATGTAACCAGTCATCCTATAACAAGTCACTGGTTCACAACTCACATAGAGTCAACGCTCATATCATCGGATAACTGACTGATCGCAAATCACAAATATCTCAACTCCTCAGACTCACCCCGATGACTACACAAACTTCACAGGCGCGATCTCGGAATATAACCATAATCATAAATATCTCAACTCCTCAGACCCACCCCGGTGACTACACAAACTTCACCGACACGAGCTCGAAATGCAACCACAATCACAAATATCTCAACTCCTCAGACCCACCCCGGTGACTATACAAACTTCACTGGCACTAGCCCGGAATATAACCACAATCACAAATATCTTAACTCCTCAGACCCACCCCGGTGACTACACAAACTTCACCAGTGCGAGCCCGGAATACAACCACAATCACAAATATCTCAACTCCTTAGACCCACCCCGGTGACTACACAAACTTCACCGGCACGAGCCTGAAAAATACATCAAAAATCCCAACCGCTCACATGGACCAAGACTTCTCACCCCAATTCTCGTAATTCCAGGTTAACTACACACATGGTTCTAGATCCTAACTGTGTCATACAGGTCACTATAGTCATGTACTTCTCATGATTCTTAACATGGAATAATAAATGCAATTACACTAAGTGTCAATGTCATGAAGTGTGAACATGGGTCGTGATCACATGTAAGAAACATACAAGAGTAAAGCTACTATTAACAATGCAAGATGAAACTACCATCAATAGATGTTTTGCACACAAAAATCGAAATCTCAGTTATTAATTTCAAGAATAATTTCCTTTAAAATTATCTCTCTTTATAAAAAATTCTAAAATAATCTTCTTAAAATATATTTTATTATTATTTATGAATAGTAATACTTTTTAATTTTATAAATGATTTCTATGGTATTTTATAAAATAATCTAAAATACTCTTTTTCTCAAAATAAAATTCTTTTAATCATAACAATTATTCAAAAATACTCCTTATACAAAATAAATTATTTTCTCGAAATAAATCCTTTTAAAATATTTTCCTCATTATAAATAATTCTAAAAATACTCTATAAATATATTCTTCCTTTCAAATAACATGAAATTAACCATAAACTATTTTTTTTACATACTTATTCATCATTTATAGCATCGTTTTACAAAATATATTCATCGCAATATTATCAACAACCACATAATTAATATCATATCAGCACAAACCTAATCTACGCATATACGTAATAAATTCATAAGAGATAAAAAAATTTAAGTTAACGAGACAACGAGCAAGAGGGATCTTGCCTCGGGGTTCGTCGAACGAATCGACGTTGACGGCGCGAGTGGAATCTGACGCGGTGGTGGAGGAGGCCGGAGATGGGGGAGTGCGGTGGTTGTAGGGCGTCAGAGAACGCGCAGGTGGGTCGAGGAGAGGAGGGGGTCAGGGGAGAGCGGGAGGAGCGGCAGGTAGGGGAGGAGTGCTGACGAGATCTAAGAGAGAGCGAGGGCACCACGATGATCGTGCCCGAGAGAGGGACTCGGGAGGCGGCGTGGCCTGGCTGAATACTAGGGGGAGGCGGCGGCGGCTGAGGCAGAGGGCGGACGTAGTGATGGTCGAGGGACGTTGAAGAGGGGAAGAACAGTTGGTGACGGCGATGTTTGGGAAGAAGAGAAGGAGATGAGAAAGAGAGGAGAGAAAAAAAATTATAAATACGTATACTATATTGGTATTACGTATATATAAGTGTATATATATAAGCGGTTAATATTATATACTATGTATGAGGTAGTATATATATGAAATGAATTAGGGTTAGGGTATAAACAAAATAATTAATAAAAATAATTACTTATATTAAAAAAATCAAATAATTATGGAATAAATATCTACAAATTAAAACGTACTTGTTGTGCTAATACAATAGTTGATATGAAATAGAAAAATTAATACAGTAAATTGTACAATTAAACAAGAATAATCAATTAAAAATACAATTACTTATATTTAAAATCAAATAATTATAGGATAATTATCTACGCAATAAAACGTACATGTTGTACTAATACAACCGATAATATGCAATAATAGAAATAATACAACAAATTATACAATAATACATAATTAATAATACAACGTGTTATACAAAATAATATGTAATAATAATAATAATATAACATAT